TAAATTATTTATAATATAGTATAATATAAAGAATATTAATTAAAATTATACAATGTTTTTATATATATTAATAATCTAGAATATTTATAATTAAAATATTTATATCTTTGTGCTCTATTTTATTTGTTTGTAATTTATATTGATCATTTTTAAAAATAGTAAAAAATACAATTTTTATTGAACATAAGTTCGATCAATCATATAATACAACTAAAAAAGAGGTCACTATTACATGGCTCTTTTTATATATCGATAATTTTTGATATATAGTGGATTGTGTCTCATTTCACTCTTGTTACTAATGCTCCAATTTCCGACTGTCAAATTGAGACGGACCCATAAAAACACACCTTTTCCTTTCAAGAGAAAATTAGGTTGATTTTATTCCATAGACTATTATATACTAAAAAAATTGCATGTAAATGCATCTTATACATTTATTTTAATAACTTTTTTCTATTTTTATTTATAATTCAAAATTATATATATAATAAAAATAATATATATATATTTAAGTATTTATAGAAATATAAAAATGATTTTTAAGCATAAAAGTAATAATATTAAATTACAATTGAAATAAAATTTTTTTTCGATTTAATTATTTTTAATAAAAAGATTATTATTGTCATTTAAAAACTATGTTATATATTTATATATATATAAATAATTATCGATATATTATATTAAGTACATATTAATAAATAAATTTAATAAATAAATTTTTATTACTTACCATTTCCATTCTTGATTTTCTTTTATAGTAAGTGTGAAAATTCCTTCAAAAAACAATAATAGAATTGGGCAGCTCAAATACCAAAATAAAGAATTCTTTTTAAATGTAGTTACTTGCCAAATTGCAATAAAACCATGAGATGCAAAAACTAATCGAGTAATAATTGCTTTGATTGTAGCTAAAAATTTTGCCATTATCACAAATTATTCAGTTATTTATATATCAACATTTATTTTTCACCCAATAAGTTTTTCACGAATTATTTAATGTTCAATTTGAAAACTTTTTCTTGAAAACTATTTTTGAATTCTTTTTTAGAATAAAAAATTAAAGAATATTATTTTAGAATATATTTTGGAATATTATTTTGGATCTTGTTTAACTTAAGCTCACTGTATCAGAACTAAAATAAAAGTATAAAGGTTCCAGAGGGTTTGGATTTCAAATAGTCTTGCGCATGCGTTGTCGAAATAGTATTATAAGAAGCATATATTTATTATTATTTAAAAAAAAATTAATGATATCGCTAAATCAATCATAGACAAAAAAAATTTTAAAGCTAAAAATCTAATATCTATGGATAAATTTTACATTAAAGATCAAGATATTGTAATTTTTTGAAAAAGACATGGTGAAAATATATTGAATTAATATTTTCTATCTCATGTATGATCACTCGCTAAGAACAAGAATAAACAAGAATAGAAGAAGAACAAATAGAAAGAAAGGAATAGAGATAAAGTAAAAGTTTGAGAATCAGTGCTATCTTTTGAGTGTTGTTAATGAACTAATAAATAAATAAATTAAATAAAAAAATTATCAATTAAATAATAAAAATATCAATCAATTCTTGAATGCTATAGCATATAAGAAAACTAGATATAAATTCTTATACTTAGTGCGTAACTTCGTTAAGAAGTATAAGAATTATTTCATCTGTGATAATAAATGTAGGAATTATATTAAATTCAACTACAAAAGTTAATAAACAGATTTTAAAAATAATTTCTTTAATATCTTTATTTAATATCATCTTTTCATAAATATATATATTAGATGAATTTATATCTTTGAAATCTTTTAATTATTATTAATAGTAAATAAAACAAAAAAAAAAAAGTAACTATAACAAGTAAATATGCAAAAATAAATATTTCACAGATAAATATATATATTACAAAAATTTTTGTTGCGAAATTGCAGGAAAAATTTCATGTGTAACCTGCTATTGAATTAGTTTCCTAATATAAAATTAAAAATTTTGATAAATTTTTGATCAAATATTTATGATGTATTAAAGAAATTATTTTTAAAATTTGTTAACTTTATTTAGTTCTTGTTATTAAATTGAATATAATTTCTACATTCAATAATTTGCTACAAATAATTCTTATATACAATAATTCTTCACTTTTTTTATGAATTCATTAATTTTCTTTATAAAATCATATATTACTTATTATATAATATTAGATAATAATAATATTAATTAATCAACAATAATTATTATTAACAAAATTTTAAGGAATTTCTAATTTGGATTTGTGCTTTTTATTGTTTCGCATTAAATCAATTATAAAAAATACTTTATAAATTTTTATTACTTTGAAATCTGTTTACTTGATTTGTAATTATTGTCAGAATGAATGCTAATGAATTTCATCATAATCAAATTCTATGTTTTTGAAATTAATGAAAATTGTTATAAAATTCTAGAAAATTGCACCACAAAAATATTTTGTTTAATTGGTCTATTCTTATATCTAGTCTATCAAAAATAATTTTTCCAAATAGGATGAAGTAGAATAAATATTGAAAATCAATCATCTCTTGATGACTTTTGAAAGATATATTTTTGACTTGATTTG